TCCAGGGCGCGCCGCAAGACTGCTGTCGACAGCGCAGACACCCCCCCGCCGTCGTGCAAGTCTTTTCCGTCAGCCCATTGACTGCCAGGCAACCAACCGCGCTCTTGTACCGGACGTCAGAATCTGCGCGCGAAAAGGCAAGCATCGCCGCCGTGAGCCCGTCACTCCACGGGGCGCTCGCAAAGCCACCGCGCGTCCGACAAACACTGCCGCGCTGCTGCGGCGCGCGCGCCCACGCGCAGGCGCGTAACGATGACGCAGAGGGAGCCCCCAAGGGAGCCCGGTGGGCTTGGGCCGCACGGGGCCTGCGTGGATCTGCCGCGAACCTCTACGGGCTGCTGGCGCCTCGCAGTGGGGACGGAGAGGCGGCCGCGATGGACCGTGCAAGAGCCACTGCGAGCACGCTGGCAACGACCGACGGGCCCTGACCGGGGAGGGTCTTCAGAACCCCCCCCCGGCCAAAAAAATATCCCGGCAAAGCAACCTAACACCGACGTGTATAAGCATATCTGGAAGCATTCCCCTTAAGATTCAGGTGAGAATCCAGTTGCAGAATTCTGCTGTTCTCGCAGTCGCAGTCGCATTCGCAATGACAGTCGCAGTGGCAACGGCCTTAGGATCCAATGGAATCCTAAGGATTCCTAGGGATTCCTAAGGCATCCTTAGGCATCCTTAGGAATCCATAGGAATCCTCAGGGAACCTTAGAATTCCTTAGGAATCCTGACTCCTAGGGATTCCCAGGGATTCCTAAGGATTCCTAGGGAATCCTAAGGATTTCTAAATATTCCTGCGGATGCTTAACTATGCCTACGGATTCCTAAGGATGCCTACGAATTCCTAAGGATTCCTAAGGATTCCTATGTATTCCTTCGGATGCCTCAGCCTGCCTCAGTTTCAGCCTCAGCCTCAGCCTGCCTCGGCTTGCCTCAGCCTCAGTCTCAGCCTGCCTCGGCCTCAGCCTCAGCCTGCCTCAGCCTCAGCCTCAGCCTGCCTCGGCCTCAGCCTCAGCCTCAGCCTCAGCCTCAGCCTCAGCCTCAGCCTGCCTCAGCCTCAGCCTGCCTCAGCCTCAGCCTGCCTCAGCCTCAGCCTCAGCCTCAGCCTCAGCCTCAGCCTCAGCCTGCCTCGGCGTGCCTCAGCCTCGGCCTCAGCCTGCCTCGGCCTCAGCCTGCCTCGGCCTCAGCCTGCCTCAGCCTCCCCTCCTCCCCCCCCCCCTCCCCCCCATTCAGCCTCACCTTGTCTCAGCTTCGGCCTGCCTCGGCCTCATCCTCAGCCTCAGCCTCAGTCTCAGCCTCAGCTTGTCTCGGCCTGAGCCTGCCTCGGCCTCAGCCTCAGCCTGCCTCAGCCTCAGCTTGCCTCAGCCTCAGCCTCAGCCTGTCTCAGCCTCAGCCTGCCTCAGCCTCAGCCTCAGCATCAGCCTCAGCCTCAGCCTCAGCCTGCCTCGGCTTGCCTCGGCCTCAGCCTGCCTCGGCCTCAGCCTCAGCCTCAGCCTCCCTCGGCCTCAGCCTCAGCCTTCATCAGCCTCAGCGTCAGCCTGCCTCAGCCGCAGCTTGCCTCAGCCTCAGCCACAGCCTCAGCCTCAGCCTCAGCCTGCCTCAGCCTCAGCCTCAGCCTCAGCCTCAGCCTCAGCCTGCCTCGGCCTCAGCCTCAGCCTCAGCCTCAGCCTCAGGCTCTCAGCCTCAGCCCATCAGCCTCAGCCTCAGCCTCAGCCTGCCTCAGCCTCAGCCTCAGCCTGCCTCGGCCTCAGCCTGCGTCAGCCTCAGCCTCAGCCTGCCTCAGCCTCAGCCTGCCTCAGCCTCAGCCTCAGCCTGCCTCGGCGTGCCTCAGCCTCAGCCTCAGCCTGCCTCGGCCTCAGCCTGCCTCGGCCTCAGCCTGCCTCAGCTCGGGCATTCAAAATATGGCACAGGACTGGTGTTCTGGGAACACGAAGATCACGAAGTGGTCCACAGTTGGCTCTGGGCATTCAAAATATGGCACAGGACTGGTGTTCTGGGAACATGAAGAACGAAGTGGCCTACAGTTGGCTCTGGGCATTCAGAATGTGGCCTGGGAATGGTGTTCTGGAACACGAAGAGCACGAAGTGGCCTACAGTTGGCTCTGGGCATTCAAAATGTGGCCTGGGAATGGTGTTCTGGGGAGTCCCCGGATCCTCCCCGGCACCCGCCCAGACCCCCCTGGGGAGTCCCGGGGAGTCCCCGGATTCTCCCCGACATCCGCCCAGACCCCCCTGTGGAATCAAGATGCTCTCTTTTGAGCCCACTAGAAACCTATCAGTCTTAGCTGTTGGGTAATTATGATCGTGTCGACGCCCCTCTTGATTGACTGGGGCCCCACCAATAACAGAAAAGTATGATTATCCTGCACAGCTGTGTTCTAGAGCTCGGACCTTTTCATTGTCGTTCGTCGTTCGTTCGTCGTTCGTCGTGCGTCCTCCCCCCTGGCCACGGAAGGAACCTCCTGGAGGAGGGAGACGAAAGGCCTCCTGTCGCTCGCACCTCCTTGGTACAAGAGCCAGGGCACGCGTGCCACTTTTTTGTCCGCGGCACCCGCCGCGTAACAACGACGACGACGACGACGACGACGACGACGACGACGACGACGACGACGACGACTACGATTACGCCTAGAACCACGATACGACAGCTATTACGACTACGATTGCGAGTACAACCACGATTACGACTACGACTACAATCGCGACTGCGATGACGACTATAATCACCAGTAAAATCATCCCGGCAAAGCAACCTAACAGCGATGTGTACAAGCATATCTGGAAGCATTCCACTGAAGATTCAGGTGAGAAGCCAGTTGCAGAATTCTGCTGTTCTCGCAGTCGCAGTCGCATTCGCAATGACAGTCGCAGTTGCCTCAGCCTCAGCGTCAGCCTCTCAGCCTCAGCCTGCATCAGCCTCAGCCTCAGCCTCAGCCTGCCTCAGCCTCAGTCTCAGCCTGCCTCAGCCTCAGCCTGCCTCAGCCTCAGCCTCAGCCTGCCTCGGCCTCAGCCCTCAGCCTCAGCCTCAGCCTGCCTCAGCCTCAGCCTCAGCCTGCCTCGGCGTGCCTCAGCCTCAGCCTCAGCCTGCTCGGCCTCAGCCTGCCTCGGCCTCAGCCTGCCTCAGCTCGGGCATTCAAAATATGGCACAGGACTTGTGTTCTGGGAACACGAAGATCACGAAGTGGCCTACAGTTGGCTCCGGGCAATCAAAATATGGTACAGGAATGGTGTTCTGGGAACACGAAGATCACGAAGTGGCCTACAATTGGCTCCGGACATTCAAAATGTGACCTAGGAAACGTGCTGGGAATACGAAGAACACGAAATGGCCTACAGTTGGCTCCGGGCAATCAAAAAGTGGCCTGGGAATGGTGTTCTGGGAACACGAAGAACACGAAGTGGCCTACAGTTGGCTCCGGGCAATCAAAATGTGGCCTGGAAATGGTGTTCTGGGAACACGAAGAACACGAAGTGGCCTACTGTTAGCTCTGGGCATTCAAAATGTGGCCTGGGAATGGTGTTCTGGGAACAGAATCTGTAGGAATCCATAGGAAACTATAGGAATCTATAAGACTCCTGGGGAGTCCCCGGGTTCCCCGGCTTCTCCCGGCACCCGCCCAGACCCCGCTGGGGAGTCAAGATGCTTACTTTTGACCCCACTAGAAACCTATCAGTCTTCGCTGTTAGGTAATCACGAATACAATCAAGACTACAGGCACGACTGCAATCAAAACTACAACATCTGTCACTGATTTCCATTGCAATCCTCATGAACAAATACCCACAAATCTTTTCCCGTGTAGATTAGCGGGTCGCCCACAATGCAGTATGCCCTGGGGGGAAAAGCCACAAACACGATCCATCCCGCCCAACAATAGAGTAACACTAATGCGGCGACCGACGACGACTACGACTACGATAACGACTGCAAGGAGGTGCAGGAGGACGAGGAGGAAGGGAGAGGAGCAGGAGGAAGAGGAGGAGGAGGCGGAGGAGCAGGAAGAGGAAGAGGGGGCGAGGTGGAGGAGGAAGAGCATGAGGAGGAGGAGGAAGAAGGTCGAGTGTGCTCCCCGCCCAGAGAAACAGAGGGGGGGAAGGAGTATCAAAACTCAAGACCAGTCGAGGTCACAACGAGACCTGGCGGGCGGCCGGTTTCCTACCCTCACCAGCGAGCCAGCGGCCACCACGGGCCACGACGGAGCCGTGGCGGGCCCTGAGATAGCGGTCGCAGTGGACCCCGCCGCCAGCCAATGTGGACCGTCGGCGCCCAGGCAGGCACGTGGCCACCACGGACTCACTCTGGTCACTGGAGCCGGCGACAGCACAGGGACCACACAAAAAAAAACGTTATAAACAACTGCAATATCTGAACACTGGCAGCTACTGGTCAAGGATGAGAGGAGGAGAAAGAAAAGAAAAGGAGGAGGAGGAGGAGGAGGAGAGGGAGGACGGGACAAGTGCACGCGACAGGCCACTGTGGACCGTGACAAAACCCCAGTGGGTTGCAAGATCCCCATCTGGGGAAGTTGGTCGGAAGCTCGGACATGGCGCGGCACTGATATCCCGCCCCAGTGCCAGGGGGAACAAGCACGACACGGCACCACACCACACCACACGACGCGAGGGACAGACGGACCCAGGTCTTCCAGCGCGCGGCCGACCCGCCTAGCGAGGGCGCCCGTGCATCGGCAAGCCCGCCGCGGGGTCGTGCCCAGCGTTGGCGGATTTGCGCAACCAACAACTTCGGAATTCCGACCCTGAATATCTGTCAGGGGGGATGAGGCCAATTCCGTTGAAAATCTGTCCTCGGACCCTTTCAGGGATTCATCTGGTGCGGCGCTTTCACGCCGGATCCGTTGGCGATGGTCCCAGGGCCCGATGACGGCCGCGGCCCCCAGGAGCCAAGAAAGGCAACATTCACCTTCCCGAAACCACTTCGAACCTGCCCCCGCTGTCTCTGGCCAGAACCAAAGCTCGGCCACGCTCGGATTCCGTTCGCGGCAGGCCTCGGGCACAACGACGCGGCGGGGCGGCGCTGTGCCCGGCTCCGCCGCGGCGGCGCCTTCCTCCCGCAGCGCTGCCAGCAGCCGGCGCGCGTCGGCGGCTGGAAGCCCTGCAGCGACCAGGGCGGCCTCGTCGGACAGGCGCAGGTCGGGCAGGGAGCCCCAGCGGCCGCCCGGATCGCGGGCGAGCACGGAAACGTACCGGCCGAGGTCGTGGCGCAGCAGGAGCGCCTCCACCTGAACGACAAAAAGAGACAGGTCATCTGGGAACCGCGCGCACAGAGATACATAGAAGTACATCGGCCCTGTCCGAGGATGCTGCGCACAAACGCCCCAAGACAACGTATCGATGCTAACTTTCTTGCGGGCGCTGCTGGCGGCAGGTGTCGAACAAACATGTACACATTGTTTACGGGCCACCAGATCTTTGCAGGATAACATAGCGGCCTTACGCGGAAGCTTACGCAGGTCGCCAGCGCGATGCGCCAAAGTGGAAACGATGGCGGTTACGCGCGACCTTACCCAGGCAACTTTCGCGAGAGTGTCCTCGCAGTCGAACCCGTTTTTGTTTCTGCGTCGCCCACCTCTGGGCGGGGGCCCCAGAAGCCAGCTGCCCAGCGAAGTCAAACAAACACGACAAACGTGAGTCCTACAGCCACTCGCCGATCCCAGCTGGAGATTGACAGGCACATGCTGCAGGCGATGAAAGGGGCCCAGGCTGTCGTCGAGGAGCCTCGGCCAAGAGGCTGAAATTGAACTCTCAAGTCCGGGCCACGACGCCCACCTGGCGCGAGTCCGTGCAAGTCATTCAAGAGTCCTGGCTCGCGTCGAGGCAGTGTTGGGGCTTGCGCCGCAGGTGTCTAGGACTTCCCCCTGACGCGAGTCCTGCGGAGTCCTCGAGGTGTCCTGGCCCGCCTGGACGCCGCGCTGGGGCGCTCGAGGGCCCGGGCCGCCTGGCCAAGCACAGGCACCGTCACTGCGAGCGAGGCCGGCGCAGCGGCGGCAGCTTGCACTCACGCCAGGGCTTACGGCAATGAAGCAACAAAGGTGACGGCCAATGTCGGGGATGATCATGACGATGCTACTGGTGCTGAAGATGATGATGATGATGATGATGATGATGATGATGATGATGATAATGATGATGATGATGAGGATGAGGATGAGGATGAGGATGAGGATGATGATGCTGGTGGCGGTGATGATGATGATGGTGATGGTGATGGTGATGGTGATGGTGATGATGATGTTGATGATGAGTGTGATGCTTATGACGTTAATGCTGCTGATGAGGGTGATGATAAAAATGATGATGGTGATGATGAGGATGGTGGTGATGATGATGGTGGTAATGATGACGACGATGATGATGAGGAAGAGGAGGAGGATAATGATACCGTCGACGGTGGCCCTCATCGGCGTTCTGGAAACCTCGCGGCGACGCGATACGGGGCGCTGGACTTCGTGGGACCCCTGCGCAATGGTGCTGGCTGTTGGAATCCACTGTTTTGTGCGTCGGGATTTCGCGAGACTCTAATTAAAATGCATGTTGTCGTTTACTGGGGAAGATCTTGGGATCCCAAGTTCCTGCGCACCTATCCTCTTGCTAGGATTATACGGGGGTGCGGGGGGAGGCTGGCTGCGTTGGGAGACCTCGTAGAAGTGGATTCCCTTTGCGCGTGCGGGCGCAGTGTCCTGTTCGGGCCCCGCAGTCCACTGCGAAATTGTAAGCTGAATCCCACCAGCCCTTTGGGCTAAGTTGGTCTAACGAGTTTCTGTCCCTTTCCAAAACCTGCTTCCCGTCGGGGAGGCTAAAGCTTTTTGGGGCGGGCCGCGATGTGATAGAGGGTATGTGTTCGCCTAAGATGGCGCCCAAAGGGCCTCCGATGCTCCAAGATGACCTCCAAGGCGGCTAAAGATAGCCGAAGTGTTTAAAATAGCTTCCGACATACCTCCAAAAGATCCGACGAAGGCAACAAGACGGTTCCAAGTGCTCTCGAACCCCCCTCAGGATACCCCAAGAAGTCAAAATCCTTTGAAAGGCAAACGACAATGAATGATGTGTGCGTTCTCGCCTTTTCGCTTCCGATGCACTTTTGAGGCCTCAACATGGCCCAAGAGAGGCCCACGAGGGGCCCAAGAGGCCCCCAACAACGACACCAAGAGCGTAAGGTTGGCCCAAGAGCGACCCCAGAGCGCCCCAAGAGGCGAGTTTGATGGCCCCAGGGGGGGACGGAAATCTAGACCCCCCCATCCTTTGATCGATAGCCTCCAAGATGGACCCAACAGGGCCCCAAGAGAGCTCTGATGGGGGCCCCAAGAGGGCACACAATTCCTCCAAAAGAGCCCCAAGAGGACCACAAGATCCCCCCAAAAAGTCCCAAGAGGGCTCCAAGAGGCGATTTTGAGGGCTTTGTCCTTGTCCTCGTTGTCCCCGCTGTCCTCCTCCTCCTCCTCCTCCTCCATCCTCCGCCGCCTCCGCCTCTTCTTCGTCCTGGCCCTCATCGTTGTCCATTTGCTTTTGCTCCTCTTCCTCGTCATCGTGGTCGTTGTCTTCGTCGTCATTTCCCTCCTCCTCCTCCTCCTCCTCCTCCTCCTCCTCCTCCTCCTCCTCCTCATCATCATTCCCTCGCCCCCACGCGGGCCCCAGACATGGTCCGAAGAGGCCATTCAAGGGCACCACCTTGATCCCAGAGATCTCTCGGTTCACCCTGGTTGCCCGCTTTTATTCATTATTCCCCATTCCGTGCTTGCACTGAAAGGGTCCTAGCGGAGGTTGAAAGATTTGGCAAACATTTCCCGCCGATTTTGGTGGCAGGCTGGGTTCCCGGGTTCCTGGTTCTGGGTTCCTGGGTTCCCAATTATTGGTTCGGGGCCGATTTCGGTGGGTGCTGGGTTCCCGGGCTCCCGGGTTCCCGGTCGATCTCCTCAGCGAAAACCATCCACTGATTGGGGTTGTTCTCTCGTGTAATATGTTTACCTTCGCCCCATTTCCCGTCAGCTCTCATGGGCAAAAAAAATTGAGTGGGCTGGTGGGAATACTTTTTGGTCGCAAGCGCAAGCGAAGGCGCAGGCGGCGTCAAAGGTCGACCCGGGCTACAGGCGAAGCCTACTTACCCAGCGAGCATAGACTGGTTGGAATATTTGTTGGGTCGCAGCCGCGAGCGAAGAGCGCAGGCGGCGAACAGGGAGTCCGGGCCGACGGGGAAACCTAATTATCTACTGGGCGCAGCACGAGCCGGCCGGGCCAGCTCACAAAAACAGCAGCTGGGGCAGCGGCGGCGGGGGGCTGGCTGGCTGAACTGCAACACGCCCAGGGAAGCTCGGGCATCGTGCAGCCCTGCGGCAAAATGCCAGGGAATTATGTGTTACGCGCTACGGCGTCAATCCACTCTGGTGGAGGTGCTTGTCGGGACAAGTAGGGATAACCTGCACGTGCATTCCTCACAGACACGGTGGTGGGTTAAAACATGCCTTCGTGGACCCGCGCCGCGTGCCCTGCCTTGCCACGCGCCGTGCCGTGCGTCGCACGCGCTGCCCCCCGCAGCCATGGTTGCCAGCGACAGTGCCACGGAAAAAGCACGTCTGACCACCTTGTCCCTGTGCCTCCGGAGTTGGGAGTCAAATTGCGGGGGCGTCTGCGTCGTGGACAGGGGCGGTTGAGAACACGTGTGCCCACCATTTCTTTGTGCGTCCCGATTTGTGACTCGAGTCAAGGAGAAGAAAAAGGCTGACCCCGATCTCCAACACACCATGTTTCTGAGGATGACTAAGGCGAAAGCTTCATGCTTGAGAACAAGCGTCGTAAAGCAACTCCTCCAGCATCCCCATTTTGTGAGCATGTCTGACGCGAGACGCCCGCCACCCTAACAACATCTTGGATATTCGAAGCAGGATCTCCAACACCTCACCTGTCTGAGGATGCCTCAGGCGGACGCCTCATTTTTGAGAACCAGCGTCGCTGCAGCAAATCCTCCAACGTTGCCATTGTGTGAGGATGTCTCAGGCAAAAGCTTCGTGGTCGAGAATCAACGTCTTAAAACAACTCGTCCAGCATCCCCATAGATTTGCGAGGATGTCTGAGGCGAGACTTCCCCCCACACCATGTTGGATATTCGACGCACGATCTCCAACATCGCATTTGTCTGTGGATGTCTCAGGTGAAAGCCTCATGTTTGAGAAGCAACGTCGTTCCAACAACTCCCCTAGCATCCCCGTTGTGTGAGGATGTCTCAGGCCAAACGCCCCTGGCAACAGCATGCTGGATATCCGACGCCCCATCTCAACATCTCATCTGTCGAAGGATGGCTCAGGCGAGAACCACAATTGGGAGAACCAATGTTGCTCGCAACATCCCCATGTTGTAAGGATGTCCCGGGCGGAACGATTAAGGCCCGACGGACGAAGAGAACCCCCTGGGCCTAAGCCCTTGCTGGGAACCAGGTATCTCTGCCAAACCAGCATAGACGCATCGTGACAAACTGTTGGAGGTCCGTTCGGGCTGCTTCGGTCCAGCGCCGACCCAAGATCCTCCCATACCTACTAAACTGTGCACTCATCAATGGACTTCTATGCCCACCTGCAGGAGTCCGACAACTGCGTCAAAACCTCAGGACCGTGCCCCCTCAGGACCCCGTTGGTTTCTCGGGCGCGGGGGAGTCGGGTGTTGCCAGACCAGGATTTCCAGGGATTTGCAGGATTTCCAGGGACTTCCAGGATTTCCAGGATTTCCAAGGATTTCCAAGGATTTCCAAGGATTTCCAGGGAGGTGCCACCAGGATTGCCTGGGAGGCCCCCGCGGCCTCCACAGAGCACCCCTCACGAGGCCCACAGAGCCCAAGGGAAGCCAAAACGGAGCGAAGAGCCAGATCGGAGCTCAGCTACCCCAAAGTGGTGATCTGTGAAGCGTGCGGTCCTTCGGGATGGCAGCGACTGAAGCTGAGACTCGGGTGTCTGGGCAGGGAGTCCATAAGTGGCTCACGTGGCACCTTGTCCGGCGCCTTCCACACAAGGTGGTAAACCTAGGTATGCCATACCGGCGCGGCTTTCGTGTTCACTGTGTAGCGGCTGGAGGTAACCCTGCACCCAATGACAGCGGCACTGGGGTCTCGGCGTTCTGCCCCTCCGCGCAAGCTGAGGGAGGTCCGCACAATCTAGTGGTGGGAGTGCACCGGTGCCAGAACCCTCAGCCCACCTGCAGTTCGCCAGGTATAGTGTCATCCCAGTGTCGTGAGGAAACCCAGACGGAGGAACCTGCGGGTGTGGCTCGCGGGACCCTTACGAGCAAGCCCTCCGTCGGGTGCAGGATAGTGCCTAAGGTCGCTAGGTGGTGGTTCATGTTAGCTGTGCCGGAGGGGTGATCTACAGAGACCTTTCTCGCCCCCGCCGAGGCACCTTGGGCGACATAAACATAAAAACTCGGAGGTCCGCGCAGATTCCTCCGATCGGCGCTGGAAGCACCGTCAGGGGGTCCAGCGCAGATCCAAGGAACCCGCGCAGACCTCCGAACATGTATCATGTTGCTCGTTGCTTCCTTCCTCGACGCGCTCGGCTCCACCTGTTCTCCTTTTGATCCATGGCGGACCTCGCGTGCGTCCTCGTCCATCTGCCGCTGCCGGGAGAGCAGCCACGCCTGAGGGGCAGCGATCGGGGCGAACCGCCTCGGGGGGGGGAACACATCGAGCTGGAGTTGGCTTCGCACATCGCCGACAGATCGGCGACAGGCCCCCGACAGCGAGCCCGCGCGCTCCTGGCAAGGGGGGGGTGCTGTCGGGCCCCTGTCGGCGATCAGTGGGCGATTGGGGGTCGATGCATCTCCCCCTGTCGTTGCCCCTGGGTGGGGGGGACTCATCGAGCTAGAAGTGTTCAGACATCGCCGACAGACCGGCGACAGGTCCCCGATGGCGGACCCGCACTTTGCTGGCCGCGGGGTGGGCTATTGACTATCTACCAGACCACCCCAACCGCACCCGAAGACCCACATTTCGGGATGGGGGGTACGGGTTCCCTACCAACCCACTGGGAATGGGAGCCAATTTGGGCCTTCGGGTTGGGTTGGAGTGGTTTGGTGGGTGGTGAGCTATCGAGCCCCTGTCGGTGATGAATGGGCGACTGAAAATCGATGCGCATCTCCGCACGAAACCGCGGAAACCAACACTTACCGATACCGCTACTCCAGGGGCCTCTCCCCGGGTTAGACCTGGCGGGAAATTCAAAGCGAATCCAGCCGTGGCGACGAGGGCCTCCCAGGAGGCCAACAGCGCGAAAACGAGGCAAGGGTAGCAGCATGTGTACCTCTTCCTCCTGTGAGACCACTGGCTTTCGGTTCCTAACTCGGCTACCCAGCGACCGTTCGGTTCGATTTGTGAGCACCCCCGCGATCGGGCCAAGCCCCCCGGACGCCCTCGGCGAGGCGCAGCCGCTGGAAGGCATCCCGAGGTTGGAAAATGCCGTGCAGAGCCCGCGAAAACGCTCGAACACCTCGATACTCATAACTTCGGCCCCTGAACGCCATCTCCAGGCTCAGGACGCCGACATCCGCCGACTATGGCTTTTGCTCAATCCGCGACCCCAGAGGTCCCGACCGCTTCCTCAGGGGTAGTCGTTCGTCCTGGATGCGTTTCTGATAGCCCTGGGGCCCGAGAACGGGCCCCGAGTGGTCGAAATCGAGGAAAGCCGCCGGGATCGAAAAACACATCCCAGGAGATCTGCCCCCCCTCCCCCACACTTCTCTACTGCCGAAACATGGTACTTGAGGGTCGGGCATCTCCTCCTACAGGCGGATTGTGGACGGACAAACAGATCAACCGAGTACCCAAAATGCCCCGATCAGAGCTTGCCTCTGTAGGGGTCCCGGCGGATTCAGATGGTTAGGTTAGGTGCGCCGCCGATTTCGGCGGCACGCCCAAGTGCACGGGTGCCTGGGTGCCCGGGTGAGGTGCGCCGCCGATTTCTGCGGCCGGGTGCCCGGGTGCCCGGGTGCCCGGGTGCCTGGGAGCCCGGGTGCCCAGGTGCCTGGGTGCCCTATAGCCCTATAGCCATATAGCCCAATAGCCCTATATCCCCATAGCCCCATAGCTCTATAGCCCTATAGCCCGATAGCCCTACAGCCATATAGCCCTATAGCCATATAGCCCTATAGCCCTATAGCCCCATAGCCCTGTAGCCCCATAGCCCCATAGCCCTGTAGCCCCATAGCCCTATAGCCCCATAGCCCTATAGCCCCATAGCCCCATAGCCCCATAGCCCCATAGCCCCATAGCCCCATAGCCCCATAGCCCTATAGCCCTATAGCCCCATGACCCTATAAGCCCCATAGCCCATGACCCTAGAGCCATGTAGCCCCATAGCCCCATAGCCCTGTAGCCCCATAGCCCCATAGCCCTATAGCCCTATAACCCTACAAGCCCTATAGCCCATTACCCTAGAGCCATGTAGCCCCATAGCCACATAACCAGAAAAAATAGTATGGTTGGAGCTGCTCTCCGGAATCATAATAATAAACGAATAAAACAGCACCCATACAATGTTTAGCTATTGTTGAATGTTCCTCCTGTAGAGGGACAGGCCTGACTTGATAGTATTTGGCGACGGTGCCGCCTCAAAATGCCCTGGACGCGAAATACTGAAACTGGTGATCTTTGTGTTGGCGACGGCGCCTCTGGTGAACCACCCAGTGCCCTCGGTGCGCTATCGAGACTTGGCAGAGGGGCTGACCTAGGAATCGCTTGCCAGCGAACACCTACTACTTCTCGTATTGTTTCATTTGGCGGTGGCGTCGTAAACTGATTGACATATATGCGAAGCGGGGATCTATCCATATAATTATCCACCGCCTGGGAACCGACGTCCTGCTGTGCCCGGCGGGCGATGGATCTGGATGTACTTTGGCCCCTGGAGGCCCGAATGTATCCACATCCACGGACTATGGAGATCCGCGAAGATCGACCCCCCGGGCCGTGGCTGCGGATCAATTCCCGCAGCGTTGCCAGGCCCTGAACGCCATCTCCAGGCTCGGGGCGCCGTCGGCGACGTCGGCGCCGCCCGGCCGCTCCGCCGCCCCGGGCTCCAGCGGCTCTTGGGCCGGGCGAAAGGGGGGGATAGCAAAAGGGGGGGGTTGAGAATCAGCCTCCTCCTCCTCCTCCTCCTCCTCCTCCTCCTCCTCCTCCTCACGTGGCTGATTCTCCCGGCGCCTCCAGGCGCCAGAGGCGGCTATGTGTCGAGGACTGGGCCCCTCGGTGCGGCCGAAACCAGCTGCATGCAGCAGATTTCGTACCCCCCCTTTCCCAGACCCCCCCCTTCGTCCGGCCCGAGGCTCCGCGGGCTGCGCCACCGGCCGCGCCCGGGCGGCCGCGGCGACGTGGCTCGCGAGGGCCTCGCCGGGCCGCCGGAGCGCTCCGTGCGGGCGCCGGCCCGGAGGCTTGAACTTCCGCTCGCCCACGGGCTCCTTCGGGGAGAGGCTGCCAAGGATTATGTCGGGCGTGTCCCCCCACAGGGGGATTTTCGACGAAAAGTATAAGATACCCCAAAAGTACTCCAAAAAGGTTGAAATAATACAAGAAGATATTCCCCTGACAATGTTTTGACTATTTTTCGACTATGTTTGGGGTATCTTTAACTTTTCGTCGAAAGTCCCCCTGTCGGGGGACACGCCCGACTTCAGCCGAGGATCGGGCGGCGCACCCCTGCTGAACGCCCGAAGCGGTTACGGCAGATTCGCCTCGTGAAATATGGAACGATCGGCGGCGTTGCGATCACCAGGTCGCTCGGTACAGGGTGAGTCTGGGCCACAGGCAGCGTTCCACCTTACACGCCCGCAGTCGGGCCGTCGCAGCGTCGACACGACAGGAACCTACCGGACGAAAAAACGATTTAGACGCCCAACAGCAGAATGCTGCCCAAAACTGGCAACGGCCGCTCTGGGGCAGGCGGCCGTCCCAGGCGCTTGAACTTCCGCTCGCCCCGTGACTCTCTGGGCCATCGACATATTATCCATGCCCCTGGTCGCGCCCCGACCCCACAGGAAGCCAGACTGGGGATATGAACACATTCCTGGCCTCCGAGGTTTCGTTCATTCATGACCCGTTCCCTTGGCGCCCAGAGACCTTTCGCCGGCGCCGACGAGGGATCTCTTGGATCCGCGCTGAGCGCCCCTCCCTGGCGGCGCCTCCGGCGCCGCCCCAGCACCGATCCGAGTAATCCGCGCGGAGATCAGAGAGCGGAAGTGTTTATGCCCTTCCTTCATCCTCGACTTCTGTCGGCGCCGGCGAACGAGCGATCTCAGCGTCTGTCCACAGGACAGCTGCTACTTATCGCTGGGCCGCTTGCTGGCCTAGCGGGGATGGGCCACAAGCTGGCCCTATGATGGTGGAGCCGCGGCTGCGGTCCAGCTGCAGCTCGAGGCGGCTGTCGGCCCACGGGGCCCACGGGGCCGACGGAGAAGAAGGAAGGCGGGAGCGCACCACCGCCGTGTGGGGTCTTCGGCGCCCCGGTCCTTCACCTCCACCTCCCGCCGCAGCTGCCCGATCTTGCGCTCCAGCCGCTGCCGCTCCAGCTCGCGAGAGGCCGCGTGCTGGCCGTCCAGGGAGGAGAACCTTCTGAGGGCGGCCCCGAGCGGCCCGAGCCGGGTGCGCCGACGGGTGGGCGCCAGGACGGCGCATTCGACCAATCGGCCCTGGGCGGTCTTCTGGCGGTCCTCTGGCGGTCTTCTGGCGGTCTTCTGGCGGCTTCCTGACAGTCTCTGGCGGCCTTCTGACGGTCTTCGGCGGTCTTGGGGTGGTTTCTGGGGGTCTTCAGCGAGAAAGCCGGGAGGTTGCGTTCAACAAAGGGTGCATAATCGAACACCTGGGTCGAGCAGAGGTCATCACTGGGCCCCAGGCACCTGGCAGCATGCCCTCCGAGGCCCGAAGAAAGACCCCTGGGCGCGCTCTAGCCAGGTCCCCCCCGAGACGAGCCTGGCCGCGGCGGCGAGGGCCCTCTTCGAACGAGGCCCCGGGCCGGGGGGCGCCAAGACAAGAGGAGAGCAGCGGGACCTCGCGATGTGACGTTGCCTCCCCTTGGGCGGTTGCCCCCCCTGCTGCGAGGAGGGGGTTCGGCCATAACCACCGCCTCGGGGATCGATCTGCGGGGACCTCGGCAGACAGTGGATACAGTGGAGGCGAGCTCGACCCTGAGACCCCAGGACGTCCATTGATGTTTGGAGTGGGAACGTCACGCCTTCCACATCAAAACTATCGAAACCCAAGAAGCCAAGGGCACCCTGGACGCAAGCAAGGTGTTTCTTGACATGGGCCTCCTCTGTAAGAATATGTTGGCTCCCCCCACCGGCTGCTGGAGTCCCCGAGGATCGATTCTGGGTGGTCATGGATAAATGCCCGCCTCGGGTTTGCACCATGCTTAGTTTCCTCACCCTCCCGACCTTCTCCCCAAAGCCGGCTTCTCATCCTGCATGAATCGTTATGTGGACGGCCTTAGGGCCTGGGACAGGGATCGACCTAAACAGTGTTCAGGCGATTTCGTGGGCCGTTTTCGTTTCGACTTCGTTCTGCAGCGAAGTCGGATTAGAGACAACACGAGGCAGAACCAAAACGAAAGAAAAAGCGAGAAGCACTGCTTAGGTCCTAAAGCGATCCCTGGCCTTGGAGAGGGCCCCCACAGCCGGAAACGGCAAGAGAAGCTCCCGCCCTGGTCTTCCCAGCACGCTGGAGGGCTAGGCTATGTCTCTCTGCCTGGCCACCAGAAAAGGCGGCGCGCCCAGGGGGCAAAGCAGAGGGGGCGGGACTCCCAGAAGATGCAGAGGGCCTCCAGCCTGCTGAGAATCATGTTGTTCCCATCGCAGTTTAGGGCCACATCCCAGAAGTAATTTTCGAGCACCCAGAAAAGTACCGAGACAGGGTCTGCCCGACACGCTGGCGAAGCGTCGAACGAATATCACCTCCCAGAGCCCGCCACGCGAAACCTCCAAGGTTCGGTATTTTCTGGGTGCTCGATTTGTCTGGGTGGTCCAGGCAAAAGTAGGTTGGACCATCATAATCAAGCGTTCCCAGCCTTGTCCAAAGCTTCGCCCCCCTCTGAGAGGAGAAGGCCTGCGCCCTCTTACATGACCCCCCCTTGGCGCGCCGCCGAACCATGCTGTGGCAAGGGGTTTGGCAATGTGGCTCGCGGCCGTTCCAACGAAGAAGACGGAACCTCGACATGCCGCCGGAACGCCGCCGGCTCTTGCAGTCCAGCGGCGGCCGTCAGGCCGGATGGGGGGGGGGCGAGGCCGGCGCAGAAGGGGTGGCCCCCGCCGCGGCCGCGCCGGCCGAAGTGGCTGCAGCAGCCCTGATCCCCTCGTTCCAGGATGGGGTCTGGAGGGAAGGGGTCCTAAGGACGAGGTGCCTCAAACAATGTACATCCACTGTCGGATCGCCTCCGATCCTTAGGTCCCCATCCCTCACGGCCCCATCTTTGAACCGCCAATCTCCAGTGGACTTCTTTTTTAATCGCGGCGATTTTGCTGCAATTTCTGCCTCTATGGGGCCCGACATCGGGCCTCGGGGCCTTCAGAGAGGATCCTGGGCGCGAAACTACCCCTGGGTAGTGGGTCGGGACCCCTGGGGCCGCGAATTGGCAAACAACACAGTGGCGGATGTCAGGCAAACGGTAAGGCCGTCCAAGCCGACACCACGACCGAAAACCGACTGAGCCGGCAACAAGGACCGGGAACGGCCGAAACCGACGGGCCGCGACCGGCCAGGGGGGGCGTGGCCACGCTGCAACGGCACGGCTGCCGACCGAACCGAACCGACCGAGCTCAACCGACGATGACGCAACCGCACCAACCAAGCCGCGGACAATCTCGAGAAGAGGTCTCGGTCACATGCCCAGCACCTAGCGCCGCGCGAGGGGCGCTTATCCTGGCGACGTCGCACCGCCCACACATGGAAAAGGGCAACCCTCTGAAACGAACTGGTGGACACTACGACTATGCCTACGACTACAAATCCGACTACGACTACGACTATGACTATACAAATACAGCTACTACTGCTACTGCTACTGCTGTTACTACTACTACTACTACTACTGCTGCTGCTGCTGCTGCTGCTACTACTACTACTGCTACTACTACTACTACTAATAATAATAATAATTAAAAATGATAATACTACTACTACTACTACTACTACTACTACTACTACTACTACTACTACTACTACTACTACTACTATTACTACTACTACTACCACTACCACTACCACTACCACTACACTACTACTACTACTACTACTACTACTACTACTACTACTACTACTACTACTACTACTGCGACTTCTACTACTGCTGCTACTGCTACTTCTCGTACGACGACTACTACTACTACTACTACTACTACTACTACCACTACTATTACTACTACTACGATTACTACTACTACTACTACTACTACTACGACTACTACTACTACTACTACTACTACTACTACTACTACTACTACTACTACTACGACTACGACTACGACTACTACGACTACTACACTACTACTACTACTACTACTACTACTACTACTACTACTACGACTACTACTACTACTACTACGACTACGACTACGACTACTACGACTAC